TTCTCGCATGAATTTCAGAACCCTAGCTATGTATTTCTTTAGTTCTTGAATTACACATGCTAGGTCAGATATCTTAGTTATTCAGTTATACATGCCTCAGTTATTAATGCATCATTATCAGATTAATTGTTGCAGTCTCAGTTTGCATGTTCAGGTTTGAGCTATCAAGTATTTTACAGAAATTCAGTCATAACCAATTAACCACTTAATTAATTGGGAGTAGCATAATACCGAGTTGGACTAGGGTTTCAGTGTACCCATATGCCTGAAGCTCATCTAGAATTCATAGGGATTAAGGAGTTGAAGCGAATTGAAGATTTAGAATCAAGGACTTGAACCGAGATAGTGCATAACTGAGGATTTGAACCAAGGCTAAGGATAATCATGGACTTGAACCACGTCTTAATATGACCAAGAAGTTGAACCGAGGTGAGTAGTTATGGACTTTAACCAAGTTGTAACGAGCGGTGGACTTGAACCACGATTGTAAATGGCGGCTGACTTGAACCACCGAGGAAGAAAGCCAGGACTTGAACCAAGGCTATAATACCAAGGCAAGGACTTGAACCACGCCCGGTGGATTTAATTGGGCAACCAACCGATCATCACGGGGAGTACCCCCAATTCGAGTGGTATAAATAAATCACTCCAGCTCGAACAGTATCCAACCAGAACCGACGAGTAGCTTCCACACCAAGAAGTAGAGACACCATAACCGACGGAAATAGAGGATTTATGAATATATGGTTCAAACCGCTGTGTTACTGCCTAGCTAAGGCCTAAACTATTAGACTCATGTCTGCTACATCAGACTACATGGAGCTAAGCCGTTCGAAGCAATGTCGGGGAGATTACATGGCCTAACAATACCAAAAGGACGCAAGTCTACGGAAATAACTAGCCTAAGCCTAGACTAAGGCCAAACATGCTCCAAAAATATTTACAAATCACAATTAAGGCACACAACAAGGTCAGGATTATCAACAAATACAATGGACATGCTTCAACCACCCGAAAACTCGATAACTAGCCTAAATCATGGATTCTAAGAATTTAACATGATTAACCACCAATTCAAGCCCAAATTAAAACAAATCAACATACAATTACTTAATCATGCTCATTCTAATGAGAGGGAAGTCGTAGCCTACCTTCAAGCCGACTGCGCGCGCTCCAAATCACATTGTCAGAGCTTTTCTCCTCCGCACGGTCTCAAAACTCTACAACACTATCCAAAGTAGAATCACAACGTCAATACGATCATTTTGACAAAACAATCATAACTTTCAGAGACAGATCAAAAATCGAGTCTAAAATGGGATTGTGGGACTTTAACCGGGATCCTGAAATTGACTTTGTGAAAAAGTTCTTTTTAACTCCCCCAACTTGTGTCCCAAAATGGAATATAATTCGTGACTCAGAACAGCCCGGAATCAGCCCATGCATTTAAATCACCAGTAAAGCTAGAGAAGAAGAGAGGACAGCAACTAAAACTCAAAAATTACCTCAAATGAAGGTTTGC